ATTATACATGGTGTATGTTCTCAGATTTCTGTCAATATTGTTCCATCTACCTGTTTTAATTGGAAGACGATGATTACATGTTCGTAATTTTTCAACTGTAATTCTTAAATTTTTAGGTAAATTCAATTGGCAATTTTCGATACGGAAGCGTATTAGTGCCATGTAATATTTTTTTTTAAATTGGTAATTCCAACTTTTAGTGGCTCTAATACGCTTCCGTACTTCGAGACCAAAGTTTGTCATAAAAATTCTATAAGTAATGGACTTAGGTCGTCTATCGACAATACTACTCCATTCTTGTACAAATTAGTTTCTCAGAGTTTCTTCAATAACTGGCTTAAGCCAGCTAAAGCCATGAGATTGTATCAATAATACAATTTCTTAAATTATTCAATATAAAAATACATGTACCTCAATGTATGTGATTTAGCTGCCTACATAGTTAAGTCATTTATTCTGGTTTGATTTGAACATATTTTATTGTAATGATTACATACAATGGTATTTGGTAAAAGTGCTTCCAATTTAATTCGCCCACTCTGGTCAAATCGTTGGACAGACAGACGGGTGGACGAACGGTCCTACACAAAAACTGATCACTGCTGGATATTAGCATTAAAGTTCAAGCCAAAAAGAAAAAAAAAATCCTTGTTCATGACGGCCTGAGTTTTTCCCGACATGTTGCTTGTAACATCACTATAATAGCAGTAAGTATTTCTTATGTACGGATATACATGTATCATTGTTTTTATTTACAAACATTTATGTACAAACATGCATATCATTTTATTCAATAACACTTGGTCTTACTTTACAAATTCCAAAGCGATGCATTTCTTTTCTTCCCAAACAAGAAAGAGATTGTTCATTCGCACTATCTATGGCATATAGGATAGAATAGCAATTTCGTTTTCTTTCTGACAGTAATGTCAACTTTAAAAAAATTCATTGTGCCAGCAACACTGAACAATACTTTTATTCCGTATCAGGTGCAGATCCAGGAATTGAAGTTGCGGGGGGGGGGGGGGGGGAGGGGGCAAAAAGTAGGCAGGGGATCCGGGGCCGCCTTGAGGCTCCCGGATTCTAGAGATTTAGTAGGGTAAAAATGAGGTCTACCGAGTGAACATTTTTACATTTTCTAGACGAAACTATGATTTGCGCTAACTTGACAGTTTTAGGGGGCGCGCTCCGGGTGCGCCCCCCTTTAAATACGCCAACTAACTGTATGCTTTCTCCGCTCTAGCAAAATTTTAAAAACAGTCTTCAACGTACCCATTAATTTGTAAATAATATTCGTTTACTTTACCTTATATTACCAATGTAAGTTTAATGGATCAAAATTAGGATTATCATATATGCTAAAAAGGTAGATCGCAGAATTTTCTTTTGATAAAACAACAGGTCCCTAGCAAAGGTTTCCAAAAGGGGGGCAACTTCCCATAAAAATCTGACAAGCAAAAAAAAATGTAATTTACCGTCCAAATTCTGGAATTTGCCAGTGCTCGACCTTACACTATCAACAAAAAGTATGTGTGTGTGGGGGGGGGGGGGGGGGGGGGGCAACAAGCATCTAAAGTAAAATTTACTATAGCGAAATACTACTCGTATACTCAGAAAAAAGTGGGGGATGCCCCCCTTCCCCCCGCGTTCTTCGGGCCTGAAAAAATCCACTAATTGAAACAAAATCTACAACAGCTACGCTTAAAAATATACATTATTGCAGGAAGTTCTAGCAACGGTCTACAATTTTTTAGTTGTATAACACCGCTTATGATACGTATGTATCATTAAGCAGTGCTGCAACGAACCATAATTTTGCAGTTGCGCCTCTTTAGGCTATAAATGGGCACTGTGTTTGTCCGAATTATTGTATAAAAATGAAGTTAATCCAGTTGTTACATGTTTCATGTATATTTCCATAATATTTTGATATGCCCCCAGCATTATCACTATTCACTATTTTGATATGGACATCCCATTTGTTTAAAAAAAATTATTGTCTAGTTAGTTTAGATTGATTATTTAGACTTTACTGTAACAGCCCATCTGCGATATCATATGTTGTTTGTCATACGCGCAGACTTCCAAGTAAAATGAATGACCTCCTATATGCAGGCCAGCTGTCCAAATGTAGCAGTCAAAATGATGCCCGTCAAATATTAGTCAATATTTCATTACAACACCCATGATATCGAATTCTTCCTTGTTCCTAAAAACGATAAATTTCATAGAAGAAACAGGAATATTCCTCCAAAAAATGTCCAATATTGGTTGACAACTGTAGGCCATATGATTCATAGTTTTATAATCATTTGGAAGTTTATTGCGTGTTACTTCTACAAATACGAAAGTTCGCCATTTGTATCACTTGGGGTATGCCGAACCCCAACCTCCTAATTTATATGCCCCTGGATCGAAAGATCCCGAGAGTATATTGTTTTTGTCCTGTCTGTCTGTTTATTGTCAACTTTAACCTTGCCATAACTTTTGATTGGTTGGAGCTATGACTTTCATATTTCACATGTGTATTCCTTGTGACAAGACCTTTCTTTGGGTACCATCATATTTGACCTTTTCACCTTGACCTTGGAGTTTGACCCACTTTTGCAAAATTTTATGAGACTTTAACCTTGGCCATAACTGCTGAACAGTTGGTGCTTGGGGTTTCAAACTTCGCAAGTGTATTTCTTGTGACAAGGCCTTCCTTTGGATACCAACAACATTGACCTTTTGACCTTGGAGTTTGACCTACTTTTGAAAAAACTTTAACCTTGGCCATAACTTTTGAACAGTTGGTGCTTGGGGTTTCAAACTTCACATATGTATTCCTTGTGACAAGACCTTCCTCTGGATATCAACCTCTTTGACTCTTTGACCTTGACCTAGGAGTTTGACCTACTCTGAAAAACTTTAACCTTTGCCATAACTTTTGAATAGTTGGTGCTAGGGCTTTCATACTTCACATATGATCCTTGTGTCAAAGCCTTCCTTTGGATACCAACAACTTTGACCTTGACCTTGACGTTTTACTTTCTTTTAAAAAACTTTAACCTTTGCCATAACCTTTGAACAGTTGCAGCTAGGCTTTCAAATTTCACAGGTATATTCCTCGAGACAAGACCTTTCTTTGGGTACCAACATTTTTTATCTTTTGGCCTGGATTCTGACTTGCATTTGAGAAAATTTAACCTTCACCATAAGCTGCCATACGGGGGCATCAGTGTTTCACAGACACGTTTTGTTATTCTTTTTAAATTTGCATGGGATTGACATAATTGTCTTCCTATTTGTGTATGCTTTAATATTACATATTACCGATAATGTAACTCTTCAGTCTCTATGAGTTGTTTTTAGATAAAAAAGAGATTTATGTATAAGTAGAAAACGAAATACTTAACAACTCAAATAGACAGAAGGGTTACATTATGGTAATATGAATTGTTGCACATTAGGATACATGAATAGGAAAAAACAATGGCGATCCAATATTTAAAAGGAAAAAAAAATATGGGGAGGGGATGGGGGCCACACCCCATATGATTTAATCATCATGATCATGTAATGATGATAATAATATGGTTTTAGATGATTTTAAAACATTTTAAAATCATTCAAAATGTTCACAATACCTATACATGTATATTAAACAAAATGTGTTGTAACTAAAGTTTATATATATATATATATATATATATATATATATATATATATATATATATATATATATATATATATATATATATATATATATATATATTCTTTGAGCTATTGCAGTCAAAATAAATCGTTTCCTTTTCACAAAACTTTTTTTTTATTCACGGGAACACACCGTTTACCAGTTACATTCTTCAGCAGCCATAACAGTCATGTGACATACGCTTGAAATTAATGGTGGTTTAAGAAAGTAAATGTTTGTGTAGAAAATACATATATACAATTCTACATGATTTGTTTTCTTTTCCGTACACAAGTTTTGCCCAATATTTTACAATACTTGAATAAATATTTATTTATAATGGAAACCGTTCAGTTTCTCCATAAACCATATAACTTTGAGTGCTGCTTTTTAAATTCAATATATGTTTTGGAAAACGTAAATTTTGTTTGAGTCAAACGAATGCAATGCAATTTGATTTGAAAAGTGCAATATCCGCACACAATCGTTTGATAAATTATCTCGCATTTTTATTGAATGAATTGACTTTATTTTCATATAAACAATGCATATGCAACGTATATAATGCTAACATGTTTTTTTAATGTTTATAGTTGAAATCTGTGACTTGGATTGCAGGCATTATGTAATTAATTTACCTATACAAGGCCCTGTTTAGCAATCAATTTCCCCTAGAGTTTTTTAAAAATTTGCAAAAATAGAAATATCACGGGAAAACAAACGGGAAGCTATAACTGGTTTCTCTTACATAAAAGGACCCATCATCAGCTGGATATATAAACCATGGTTTATGGTCTTGAGGTCATTCTGAGAAAATTTGCTGTAAATGTAAGTATGTTGGCTTGATTTAGGCCTTTCTTTTTATACTGAATCTGAATGTGAAACGGAATGTTCCGTCTACCTGATCAATACTTAGGCTCACGGGTGTGTGAATGGTCAACAGGGGGATGCTTACTCCCCTAGGCATCTGATCCCACCTCTCAAATTTCCAGGGGTCTCTGTTTTATGCCCTCTTCACTGAATTGTATTGTTTATAGATTTTTTAGATCGGTCACTGTTCGTTATTTTCACCTTTTTCATATGTAATCTGATGAATAGATTTTGTATAATTTTATACCTGGTAATGTTTATCTTGATTTCGTCTACTTCTTGAATCAATTTTTGAGTACTACTACTAGAACCAGTACAAGTAGAAAAATGGGAATGAGAAAAGTGGGGGGGGGGGGGGAGGACAGATTGAAAATAGAGGCCTCTGGTGTCGCTGTTGAGGCAAATGACTGTACATATTGTAGTTTAATCTGGAAAAAGCAATGCTTTTTTTCAGTTTCATAATGAGGACAATCACCCTGGCAGTGGTTTTGATAGTAATCATTTTGTTAGAGCATTCTGTGGTAGAAGGTTGGTGGGGAAGTAGTCGAGAGAATAAATCGAGTAGTCGAGAAAATAAAGGTCAAGATGGTGGTTCGAAAAGTGTAGGTGAACGGATCAGTTCAGCAGTACGCTCCGGAGTAAATCGCGCCAAAGAGGCATTCCAGAAGGCCAAAGAGAAGGTGCAATCTGGGATTGACTTCGCAAAACAGGCTGCTCAAGGAGCCGGAGACATGAACAGGGCGTACAGGTAAGTCACAGACACTTGACGTTTTAAACCTTTCTCTTCATTGATTAAAATATCACCATACTATAACTAATAATTATATATAGTATGGTGATGTTTTTATAATTGAAAAAAAGTTTAAAACGTCGAGTGCCTGTAAGATAAGAATAAATAAGTATGTTCTAGCTATTTGAGAAAAATTCATGAATGTGAAAACGGGGAATAAAAGTAAATTAAATACATTTTTGAAGCACACTTTTTCACATGAAGACTAATGTATCCTTTTTGGACTGAAGACTTTGTAAAAATAAAGTTTAAAATTCGTGATGTCGAGTTTCGTTCCTATGAAAATTATAAGTTCTCCGGGGTGTCCATACCCTTATAAACAACATAAATTAGATCCTTTTTACTTTCTTTCTTGTATTATTCAATAAACTACGTGTACATACTTCTGGATCGCGATTCCCATAGTCATAAAAACGAGATACTGGGATATACTAATCACATGAAAATCAACATATCTAATATGGATAGCATGGAAAGTGAAAGATCTTGCAGCAAAATATCCCATGTCTCTCTTTTACGAGTTCAATTGAAAACGTGTACTAGCATGTCCCTTATCCAGCCTCGTTTTGGTAGGATAACAGTATGTTGAACATATTTAGTCCAGTAATCAAAAATCTGTATATAACAAATGGTCACCAGAAAATGAAATTGACAATAATATCAAAATGAGTAAGTATTGTGTAATTTCAGTGACATGAAAGAAGCTAACTGGAAGAATTCAGACAAGTATTTCCATGCACGTGGTAACTATGACGCCGCCAAAAGAGGACCTGGGGGTGCATGGGCAGCAAAGATCATCAGGTTAGGAAAAAATTATTTATGATATGATAAAATAGTGATCAAAATAATTTATCAATCCGGTTATACTTACATGTAATTATTTATGCGTGTCTTTATAATTAGTGATGCCAGGGAAAACTATCAAAGCGGTTTGAGTGGCCAAGGAGCAGAAGACACGGCTAAAGACCAAGAAGCCAACGAATGGGGTCGGAAAGGTGGAGACCCAAACAAATATCGACCCAAAGGACTACCAGACAAATATAGATAAAAATCAAAGAATCTTCACAACACAAAACTTTTATTTTTGATGAATGTTTATTGTTTATATTGCTGTTGAATAAATAGAGGATATTCAATGTTCACAAGTGGGACAGGATGTTTTGATATTTTCACGAGTGCGAAGCACGAGAGAAAATATCAAAACATTCTGTCTCACGAGCGAAATAAATTCCATATCCAACTACAAAACATTGAATTTTTTGTTTATTACATTATCATTTAATTTCTATAAATTAATTGATTCTGATTGGATTAAAAATTCTTTTGATTACTGCATCAATAGAATGACTGAATCGAGTTCACTTGCACTTAGCAGCCGGAACTACTTTGGCTGACTTTACATTTATATTTCCCGCTTCCAGATTACTTTGTGAAAGAAAAATGAAATACTTTTTCTCTATTTTTCTGAATTTCAAGACTTGTCCCTTAAGCTCCTGAGGTATTTTCTACTTTCGTTTCTTTTCGAAGTATCCCCCTTTCATGGCCGCAGGAATCGGGGGGGGGGGCACGGGGGGGGGGCGTTCCCCCCCAATAATTTTGCCGATATACAGATTACTATAGTAAACATAGATATTATATGCTTGTGCCCCCTCAATGAAAACGTCTGATGACCTTTTTTTTTTTTTTTTTTTTTTTTTTTTTTTTTTGCTTGTCAGGAAATTTTTGGTAGTCGACGACCTTTTTTTTTTTTGCTTGTCAGGAAAGTGCCCCCTCAACTGTCAACTGAAAAATGTTTGGCTGTGCCCCCCAAAACTGAAATTGCTTCCTACGGGCCTGCCTTTGCTAAACAAATCAGATACTCTGCATATGACGACAATGCAGTTGAGGGAAAAAAGGAAAGAAATCATCACACGTATGTTTGAGATAACTGACCCAGTATGAACAATAAAACTGTGAAGAAATGTTTTTATGCTACCAAAGCGGGGAAATGCCGACGGTAATATGTTGATCATTAGGAACGAATGCATGAGAAAAACGACATGGATTCGGCAACAGACTCTTCCAGATTGTACAGCATGTTGTGATATGCATAGACAGGTTGTGATACGTATATATATGTTCGGTTTGAATTTCAGATGAAGATATGCGCAAATGAAGTCCAAAATATCTGTGACCTAGAAAGAGTTGTTAGGGTTATATTTGAGTAGCTTCCCTTTACATTGATATCAGCTTACCGGGGATTGATTGATTGATTGTATGTTGTTTTACGTCGCGTTCGAGAATTTTTTACTCTTTTATAGAGACGTCACCATATATACCGGTGAAGGGCTTCAAATTTAGACCTTTACTCGCTACTCAGGGCCATTGAGCAGTGAGGGATCTTTATCGTGCCAAAGCCTGCCGTGACACGGGGCCTCGGTTTTTAAGGTTTCATCCGAAGGACCCGCAACTTTCACTTCAATGTGCCGAGCGCTCGGCGATGGAAGTTATTACCTATATTTTATCGACTTTGGTCAGTCGCGGCTGAGATTCGAACTCACGACCTTCCGATCATGGAGCGAGCGCTCTACCGACTGAGTTCCGTGACGGTGTTTACCGGGGAGAATATACCCTTTGGGATATAGCAAAACTTAACAAGCATTCTGAGAGTATTGGATTAGCAATACTAGTCCCCTACCGGCAAGTGTAATCTGGTTCCCGTAAAAAAATTGAAAATCCCATAATTCTATAAAAATCAATGAAGCGGAACGAAATACAAACTTGATCTATAACTCATCATGATACACTCACATACCAAAAATCAGCCCAATATCTGCAAGCATTTAGAAAAAAATGTGCGGAAAACAAGTGGGACAGACTGACAGAGGGACAGCTAGACAGACAGACGGACGGACAGACTCAGAGGAAACCTATAGTCCCCTCCGGCTTCACCGGTAGGGGACTAATAACACAACAGGTAAGTTTTTTGTTTTAAAACTGTTATTACTCCCCTACCGGTGAAACCGGAGGGCTGTAGGTTTCCTCTGAGTCTGTCCGTCTGTCTGACTGTCTAGCTGTCCCTCTGTCTGTCTGTCTGTCAGTCTGTTATAAATAGATAGTTGCTCTTAAACACATTTTCTGAAAATTTCTGAGATTTAAAGGAAAAATCAAAAATTAAATGTTGAATATAATTTTGTAAGTGAATCGCAACTATGATTAAAAAGCATGACACATATGAATAGAAACTTAATTAAATTGAATATTTTATCAATTTTTTTTAAATCCTTTTTTTTAAATTTTGATCATCCAAATATATATTTTTCTAAAAATAAAACAATGCACAAACAGTCATCTTGTTTGTCACTATCGCATACAGCTGTAATTTCCCTCCAGGTTAAAACAAATATGAATTGTCATCAGTTACATAATCAAAAAGTTTAATTCAGTTGAATCTACCCACAGCACAGGCCAAAAATATATACTGAAGTTTGATTCTGCAAGGACTTAAAAAGTTTTTTTGTTAAGTACCTTTTTAAATATCTTCAAACTAATCTTAATCTTAAAATCAAAACAAAACATGGGAATCAATCTGCCTCTTTTTGTGCTACGGTACATCTAATTTAATCTTCCTGTATTGCAATTGCAGCTAAGATATAAACACGTTTTCGGAGCTTTGTCTATCTTTTCTTTTGAACCATGGAATATTCCCCGAACGTCTACTGGCTAAAACAACTATTTAATTATCACACTCAATTAAGAGGCCCTCTAAGGGGTCCAGGTAGAGTTTACCTGTGTTACCTTGATTGAATTAAGTAGTCAAAATCAAATAATTTAATATTTACTGATAAAACTGTGTGCTAAAGCATAGATTTATTGATTAAATACTTGCTATAGTTGAAGGCACTAAACAATTAAATATTTTTTCATGTACATGTAATAAATAATTTATTATAAACTATTTTCAATTAAGCATAACTTTTTTTAACCTAACACTTGGCACTTAATTGAAGCATCACTTACACCACATTTTAACCTTTTAAGCTTTGTTTAATCTATATTAAACATGGAGAACTTTTTCACATTGCATTTACAGGTCCATAGAAAGAAAAGGGGGGAGGGGGCATTTTTGTGAGCAAAGACTTTTCCTGTAGTATAGTCTATTCCTCTAGATCTAATATGTAAATTTTCATTTAGATGTTGCTCCCTCTTACAATCTTTTGCTGTAAGGTCGAGCGCTGGCGAATATTCCAGCACTTGAAAAAAAAATCTACAAACAGAGAAAGTCCACCCCTCCCCACACACGAACACACAAAATAGGATTTTCAAGGTTTTCTTTTTAATTATTTAAATTTTACTTGTTAGATTTCTCTGGGGGTTGCCCCTTCTCCCACTGTTTAAACCATTGCTACCTCTTTGTTTGGAAGCAATATCTAAAGTTGGGGGGGGGGGGTTAAAATTCAAAATGATTTTTCAAAATGATTTTTTTTCCAAATATAATCGTATCTTACTCTTTTTGATAGATTTTTTTTACCAAAATAAATTACATGTATATTGTGATTGAGTTTTATGATACAAACTCACAAAGATTTTGAAATTATTTATTGTTATAATATTTATTGTTATAATATTTAAAATTAATGCTTTGAAATGATGATTAAAACTAAATTAAATCAAAAGTATCTAAAGCAAAATTTATTTAAAATGACATATGATCGATAGATTTTTCCTGTTTAAGAAAGAATGCTACTTACATGTTCACGGAAATTTTATTTAACCGATCTTTGAGACATCTCCTCTGAAATATGGCATAAGTATGGAAAGATCGATATTAGTTTAAATTAATTTTTATGAATTTTGGGGGCTTTTTTTAGGAGAAAATGAAAAGATTGTTTTAATTGCAAATAAGATCCTTTAGAGTTTAAAGTTTGCCCTAAATAAATGGATAATATAAATATATAATAGAAAATGTCAAGAAAAATCAGATAAGGGTTTTTTTTAATTTTTGCTAAAAATTATTTATGAAAATAAAACACATTATTTTTAGCATTTTTTAACTAATCCATAAATCTTCAAGATTTTTACATTTCCCCTAAAAAAAAAAATCATGTTAAAACAATGAATATATTTTATCAATATTTCCATGCTGAAACCATGTTTCAGAAGAGATGTCAAACATTATTGTTGCTGTAGAATTCCTCCTTCAATAAATACAGGTAAAGCTAGTTCATAAATGATTGTAGATACTACCTGTACCCCTTACAGGGCCCCTTAATTGAGTGTGATAATTAGATGTTGGTTTAGTCCAGTAGACGTTCGGGGAACACACCGAATCATGTATAGTCCAAATTTATGTAATGAACTTCTTAAAATCCGTTATGTGACCTTTCTGTACTTATAAAATATAATTTTGTAGCATTAAGAATTTCAAAAGCAGTAAAATCATTTATGAGTCTTAAGAATTCACTGAATTTACAGCAGACATAAAGGTTTTCTTAAAAATTCAGATTAGAAATTAAAAGTAAGATCATGAATTTTTTTTAAATACATGTATTACAAAACATATGTTCTTTTTATGGCTCGGTTGTTCTTTTATTGGCGTTTACAAAATATTTACTATATTTAATTTGTCACAGCATGGCGAGAATTCATGATAATTAATAAATGTGATCTGCTGCCTGCATGGAATTCTTGGATGCCAAACTTTAAAAAAAAGTACTGTAAAAAAATTTGAAATCAAAAATCCTTCCGCCGCAAAAAAAATGTTCCTAAATTGATTTTTTATGGAATTTAATCGTGGGGTTTTAATGAATACAATTTAACTGGCATTGAAAAATCAAATATATTGTTAAAACTAAAATGTGATGCAGAATTTTCAGAAGAGTCCAGAAAAAAATTTGCCAAAATCAGAACCTCTTTGAAGTCAATTTACTTTGGCTGTCTCTTTCTTTGGATTACTTTTTACCTATTGTACGTACAAAATTATGAGCTTGAGAGTAGGTGTGACGTACATTCCTTTTTCTTTATAACTATTCTTCAAGTGTAACTTTCTTTGGCATCGCTTTCGTTTTGAAGA